ATAGGAACTGGAAACACAGGGAATCCAGGACAGATGAACCCCTCAGGACCAGTGGTGAGAGTGGCTATACCGGGAGGGTGGAAGGAAGGTGGGGTAGAAAGAGGGAACCAATCACAAGGATCTACATATAACCCCCTCCCTAGGGGATGGACAACAGAAAAGTGGGTGAAGGGAGATGTTGAACAGTGTAAGACATGAAAAAATAATAATAATTTATAAATTATCAAGGGTCCATGAGGGAGGGAGAGTGGGAAAGGGAAGGGGAAAATGAGGAGTGGATACCAAGGGCTCAAGTAGAAAGCAAATGTTTTCAAAATAATGAGGGAAACAAATGTACAAATGTGACTGACACAACGGATGTATGTGTGGATTGTGATGAGTTGTATGACCCCCCAATAAAATGATTTAATTAAAAAAAAAATTCCACCCACCCTCTGCCTTAAAATCCAGCTGTGTCCCAATAATGTAAATAATAGCAATAATAAATACTTACAGTGTGAGATGCACTTACATTGTGATATGTATGCTCCATTTGCATTACATAGGGAACATCCCTTCATCATCACCGTAACCTTTTGAAATAGATGCTGCTATCAAACCCATTTCATTAATGAATAAATTGAACTAGAGTTAAGAATGAAATCCAAGGTGACACTACTACTAAGTGGAGAAGCTGTGATATAAACCTGAGCAATTAGTGCTTCAATCTATGTCCCTGAGAGAAGCGCCCTCTACATTCTTTCTAATGTTGACATAGGAAAACAAATTATATTCTACCTAGGAAAATGATTTCAAAAATAAGATGAAATACCCCATTAAAATAATTAGCGGAACACAAAGAAACAAAAACATTAATGAAGAAAAACTATAAAAATTTTGAAAACATGTGACTTCTAAAAACACTTACCCAGACAAATACATGTAAGTATCATGCAGCTCAATGAATTTTGAATAAGATAAGCCATCACTCATCTTTTTAGTATCCTGTTCATGAAGTAGCATAGAGAAATATTCATAGAAAATAAAATGACCGCTTTCTCTGCAGCTACCATTTAAATTAAATTAGCATAGAGGTGAGGGGATAATGACAGAATTCACCACAAGTGAATTCCTTGCTTGCTCTTCAAAAAGATAAGCAAGAGACAGAATGAATGTGAGCTGGGGAAGAAAATGAAATGATCCAAACACCTCAAGGAATAAGTAAATTCTCAAAGACCTGCTTTTAGGAAAAGCTAGAGATTTATGTTAGTCTTACACTTAGCCATTCCTTTAAGACAAGTAGTAACTGCTGTCTGTGGGCCTCTGGGTTTCATGGATTTGGGTCGTTTGGAGCAATCTCTAAAATGAAAACGCTTCTGGGGTTTTCTTCTGGCCAGGTATTACAGTGAAACAGCACCACCCCTCTGAACGTGTGATGCAAACCAGCCATGTCCTCGAACCAAAAGCGACGATAACTCGTGCGCTTAGCCCCAGGACTGACCCAGCCCACAACCACCTTCATCCCATGGCCTGGTGCCCCTGCACGCAAGTCCAAGTCAGGGCAGCAAGCAAGAAAACAGCCCAGTTGGGACAGGAAAGAGAAGACAGAGAAATGAGAGGATTTGAGAAGGAAAAGAATAGATGGAGGGTAAAAGGTGACAGAGAGACAATTCTGTTTAAAGCAAAAATGAACATACGTAACATCTCCAGGCCACAGAAACCTATTTTGCCTTCTACCTATTCACTTGAGAGAGGGCATACAAATGCTTTTACGGCAGAGGTGGCTAAGGGAGTCTTAGGTAAGCATAGGATAATCACCCACCTTAATAACATTTAGAGCTACAGCTTCCAACTACTTTGTAACCTTACCTAATTCATTTTCATAAAACCTCTGCAAGGTATGTATGGATTAAGCCCCCATTTTGTAAATGCACAAGTCACGGGCAAGAGGTTAAGTGCCTTACCTAAAGCAAAGGGAGAAGTTGGCACGGCAAAGCGGATGGCGAACAACGGAGAAGGTCCCCTGTTCCCCAGGACCGTGCCAAACTCATATTTTTCCGAATTGCGTGTGTTCTCATGTCCAAGCTCTTACGGAATGCCACCATAGGCGGCCTGAGGGCACAGTGGGTTCCAGGTTGGGTGGCTAAACACAAGGTCAGTAGTCTGAGCCCACCAGGTGCTCTGCAGGAGAAAGGTGAGGCATTCTGCTCCCAGAAAGATCTGCAGCCTCAGCTGGACACCCCCTTACAGAGGCGGTGCAGGGAGGAGACGAGCCAGCCAGGGTGCAGTGTAGCAACGACAAAACATACAACTTTCCTCTAAATGCTTCCTCCCCCACTATCATGACCCCAAGTCTATCTTACACATCTGGCTAGACCAGAGGATGTACGCTGGTACAGATAGGAACTGGAAACACAGGGAACCCAGGGCAGATGATCCCTTCAGGACCAGTGCTGAAAGTGGCAATACCAGGAGGGTAGAGGGAGGGTGGAGTGGAAAGGGGGAACTCATCACAAGGATCTACATATAACCTCCTCCCTGGGGGACGGACAACAGAAAAGTAGGTAAAGGGATACGTCAGACAGTGTAAGATATGACAAAATAATAATAATTTATGAATTATGAAGGGTTCATGAAGGAGAGGGAGCAGGGAAGGAGTGGGGGGGTGGGGTGAGGAGCTGATGCCAAGGGCTCAAGTAGAAAGCAAATGTGTTGAGAATGATGATGGCAACAAATGTACACATGGATGATGTATGGACTGTGATCAGAGTTGTAGGAGCCCCCAATAAAATGATTTTAAAAATAAAAAAAGATTTGCCGCCTGGAAAATCCACAGAAGCAGCTCTCATCTGTCCCAGGGCTGCCACGAGTCAGCGCCAGCACTGTGGCAGTGACTTTCCGTTCTGAGCTAAAACTGGTCAAAAGTTCTCCTCTCTAGCCCAATAAGCAACATCACGATAAACCAGAGACAAGGCTGCCGTTGTCCCGGATTTCACGCTCCTTGGATCCATAATCAACACCGTGGCAGCAGGGTCAAGAAACCACGGAGGATATGCCACTGGGTAACTCTGCTGCCAGAGTGACCTTGAAAGTGTTCAAAAGCGAAGAGGTCACCCTGAAGAATAAGGTGAGTCTGATCCAAAGCTTGGGATTACTCATCACCTCATACGACTATGAATGCCGGACGGTAAGCGAGGAGATCTAAAGCAGAATTGACGCCTTTAAATTAGTGAAGACTAAAACATTTGAAACTCTGAAAAAAAAAAATATTTGAAGCTCTGAATTTTAAATGCAATATGACCACAGCTGGGTGAAAACATGTACAGAAAAGCACAAGAGGAAAATAAATCAGAATTTTAACAAAAACTCTTTTTAAATAACAGAAAAGCAGGTGAAGGGAGACATCGGACAGTGTAAGATATGACAAAATAATAATTTATAAATTATCAAGGGTTTATGAGGATGGGGAAGCAGAAGAGGGAGGGGGGAAATGAGGAGCTGATATCAAGGGCTCAAGTAGAAAGCAAGTGTTTTGAGAATGATGAGGGTAACAAATGTATAAATGTGCTTTTTACAATTGATGTATGTATGGATTGTGATAAGAGTTGTATGAGCCCCCGATAAAATGATTTTAAAAATAAAATAAACAATAAATAAGTGACTGGATATATCATGGCCTACCCACTGAATGAACAAGCCTGTGTTGAAAGAAATACATCTAGACTGCTCCTTAGAAACCAGGATATCAAGATGTCATGTCATTTACTTTGAACTTACTCGTAGGGGAGACCCGTCCCTGCAGAAGAACCTCAGGACAAGGTAGAGGCTAATTTAAAAGAGGAGCCCCTCAATGAGCCGGACTGACGCAGAGGCCACAACAATGGGCTCCAACAAGGCCAAGATGGGTGCTCTCTTTGCAGCACGGACAGTAAATTGAGTGATAAAGAGAGGAGCATGGCCTCTACACAAGGATGACACGGAAATTCACTAAAGCTTTCCATATTAAAAAACAAAAACAAATTAAGATGTGGGGATGACACAGAACTGGGTAGTGTTCTGTTCTGTTATACGTAAGGGGGACATGAGTCAGGGTCAACTCCACAGCAACTAACAAGGGTAGCAAGCTTGCCCACACACCTGGCTGTCATCCAAATGACATTTTTTTTAAAAGGTACATTTCCACAAGTAGATATGAGACTAGGGATCTAAACTGAGTGACGGGACAGGTCCAAAAGTGTGCCATTCAGAGAACAAAGCTCATCATCGGTCACTGTCATTCTCTGGCCTCGCTAGTCAGCCGACTGGATCATTTCTGGACATCTCAGCAAAGCCTGGTGGGGTAGTAGTTACACATTTGGATTCTAACTGCAAGGTCAGCAGTTCAAAACCACCAGCCACTTCATGGGTGGAAGATGGGGCTTTCTACTCCTCATAAAGAGTTACAGGCTCTGAAAATGACAGGGGCAGTTTTATCCTGTCCTATAGGATGGCTATGAGTTGGCATTGACTCAATGGCAGTTAGTTTTAGTTAGTTAGTTAGTTAGTTAGTTAGTTAGTTAGTTAGTTAGTTAGTTAGTTAGTTGTTAGTTAGTTAGTTCGTTCTTTGGAAGAAAAACCTGATCCAAGCAAAAACTGAGACCCTCAATCCAATATGGATGGAAATGGTCTTCCTCTCCTAATTCTGTCTTTCCTTTGTCTGGGAGTAACGGAAACCCTGCTGCTCATCATGCTGTAGCGACCCAGTGAGCCCCTGCTGGGCTGGTCCTAATTATATGTCTGGCAACACTCGTACTGCAACTTGTCTTAAACTACAGCCCGCCAAACAGAACCATGACCCGCTATCTCTGTGCCCTCTTGTCAGTTCCCCCTCCTCAGCAAGCACAGAGCCCTCTGAGGCCCACTAACAGGTGGGTCCAGTCTTGAGTCCGTGCTACTGTTTCAGACACTCTCATCAGCATGGCCTCCGTTCCGTCTCCTCCTGAGCATCTCTGCGGTTGCAACACCTCTGTTTTCCCCCGCTCTCACCTCCATTTTCATCTCTCACTTTTCTCCCTTTCTACCACTCAGTCTCTTAAAGCCAAGGTCAAATCATCATGGATTACATAAACCTTAAGAACATCGTCCTAAAACGGATTAGCATAGGTACCCTTCTTTGCTCAACTCTTTGCCATATCTTGCTACCAACGCATTACTGCCCCTCCAGTAATTTTCTCTGCTCCATCCAGCTCAGACCCTATGGGTTTTAACATCCCATGATGCCTGTCCACTTCCTTATCACCTCCAGAAATGAAGCTGCATCAGGAACTCTGACTCTCCTATTGATTATCACTTCCGTGGGCCAGATTGAGCATTTGTTACCTACAAAGCCTAAAGGCATCTTAAAATCTGACTGTTGCTGACCAGCAGGTCTGTATTATTGTCCACAGTCAAGGACAGCACCAGGATTTCTACCTAGGACAATTTTAGGCTGGAAGAGAAAGTTAGGTGACTTGTCAAAGCAGGATTTACACAGCAGATGGTATTTTTATTTAGCATATACACTTATTGAGGAGAAGGGGTTCCTTAAGAAGACTTGTAGATATTCTAGGGTGAAAAAATCACCCTGTGTCTAATTGCTGTCTCTTGAACCAGTTGAGATATTTATATCTTTAGGACCCAGCAAGGGAGCCCCTGGTGACACAATACTTAAGCACTCAACTGCTAACTGTAAGGTTGGAGGTTCGAACGCCCAACCTAGCGACAAGAGAAAGATGTGGCAGTCTACTTCTGTACACATGATAGACTCATGACCTATTGGGTCACCACAAGTCAGGATCAACTGGACCATGAATGGGTTTTGAGGTCCAAACATAAAGAGCCTATGAGGTAGAGGGGACAATGGGTGAACAAGTGCTGGGTCTGCAGTGCTACTCCCCAAACACGTGTGTCCTGTGTGTAATGGCTATTTGGACACCAGGCAGGGTTTTTTTTACTTTGGGGAAAGAGGATGCATCCTAGGCACTGTGGGCTCTAAAGCTGCAAACTCCACCTGGTCCAGGACCCATCCCAGCAGGCAGGGCTGCAAGAGGGCAGTGGCTGTTCCGGTGTCCCACCCTGCCCAGGTGCGACCATCTCTGTGCCCGCCGGCTTTGACTGATACTCAGCTACCTTCAGCTGATCGCCTCTTTCATCTTATGGAATGTGATTTTTACAAGTGTTATGTATTTCATTTGTGCAATGCCCTGGATACTGGATTGGAACACAATTGCAGCAGATTACACTATTTATTTTACATACTTGAAGATGGAGCCTCTTGAACTCAATATGCAGATGCATCTGAATAATATGCAAATCTGTGTTTTCTGCCAAGACACTGGCATTTTTCTTTTAATGGAACTGTGATTCCAATTCAAGAAGAAAGGGCCTCTTCCTTGCTTCCTCCTGCATCCATGCTCCCTGCCCCTCCCTTCCAGCTCCTGACCAGCATGTAACATCATCGCTAAGCTTCAAAGCCAGGAGAAAATGACAGGCTCCGCTAAAGTACATGTAACCCTTTAATGGTTGTGCCAAGACATTACTTAGTGCCTTTTGATAGGTGTGCTACAAATGCAACGAGGTTCACGCTACTTCATTGCCAATTTGGAATTTTATTCTTAACCTCATGAAATCCGACGGTCTCCTTGGTAATTCTATATTGAAATGTTCTCACCTACTGTACAGCTGCAGCGCACAGCCTTTCCAAAGGTGGGGGGGGGGTGAACATGCAAGTTTACAAAGCTTTTTAAAGGGGAATTACAGTGGAGCTGGTAAAGGTGTCAGACCACAAAATTGAATCCTCTATTTAGCTGCAGAATAGTAAATTACATTTCTTTTACACACGCTGCCCGCACCGTCAGTGCCATCATTACCATCACCACAACCTCAACTACAAGGAGTGAAAACAGTGCTCAGACCCAAGAGAAGCTACTGAAGAAACTCATAACATCCAACAACGATTTAAGGTTAGTAGTTTGAACCCATGAGCCACTCTATGAGAAAGAAAAAAGGAGGAGAAGAAGAAGAAGGCTTTTTGCAGTAAAAATGTATCGCCAAATAGGAAACACAAACAGGCAGTAGTTCGACTCTGTCTGATAGGGTCACGACGAGTCAGAAATGACTCAATAGCAGCGAGGTTGTTTTTTGTTTGTTTATTTTGTTTTGCATTAATGGATCAGACCCTCTTCTAAACTGTACAAAAAAACATGAAGGCGGACAGCACGACCCTTGCTCTCAACAGTGCACAATGGAGTCAAAACCCTGACCATAGCTAGCATTCACTTAGCATTTATTTTACACCACACACGAGGCGCAGCACTCAGCAGGACGTGGCATCATTCGATCCTCATAACAACCACACTTCCCCAAGATTTCCAGCTCACAAATGATAGACACCACTTCACACCCAAAGCACCTGCCCAGCACCACACATGTCAACCACTGTTGGAATAAATTGAATTGAAGTTTCACAGGCTAACAACTGCCCCCAAGAACTGTGCTGAGAGTCTTCCATTAGCTCTCGGACAAGGTTTTCATTCGTGGCTTTAATAACCAGAGGTCCTACACCCCCATGGTCCAGTTCCAGTCTGTATTTTATGCTTATGCGTCAAAGTCAATATAATATCTTCATGGTTCTCCAGTTGTAGTCCCTTCACCAAGACTACTATTCCTTAAAACTCTCAAAATGAAGGATCGCACAGGCTAGATGTATCTGTCCTAGGTTGGGAATGGAGTAAATGAGATTCCCAAAGTGACCCAGGGTGCTGGTGTGCACTCAAGACTCAAACAGCACACAGCCAAACAGCTGCAACGCCTACCCCTCTCTACTATCCAACACTTCCACTTGGCCGCAGTGGCTATACAGAAATGATAGGGAAACTCACCCACTGCCATCCAATCTGTTCCAACTCATAACATGCTCGTAGGGCAGGATAGAATGGCCCATGTGACTTGTTTCCGAGACTGTCACACTTTCTGGTGCAGAAAGCCTCATTTTTCTCTAGAGAAGCTGGTTGTTTTGAGCTGCTGACTTTAAGGTTAACAGCCTAATGCATAGCCCACTAGAACACCGGACAGAAAAAGCCATGGGTAAAGACACCTCTCTCTCTTCATATAAGTCTTCAGGCTGTGACTGTAGACACTCTCACTTGCCCTTTAGTGCTATGTGAATATTCCCTTACTCAGATCCTTCACCACAACCACTGTCGCTTGCTGCACTGTCAGCATGAAAATCATTGCAAAGGTACTGAGCCTTCTTTGTACTGAAACCCAACCCAACCCTCTGATGTTGAGTCAAGGTCAACTCATAGTGCTAGTGGACAGAGTAGAACTAACTGTTCCTTAGGATTTCTGGGACTGTAAATCTTTATGGGAGCTGTCTGCCTCACCGTTCCCCCACAGAGGGGTTGGTGAGCTTGAATACTGACCTTGAGACTTACAGTCCAACGTGTAACACACACACCCACCTGGGTTCCTTTTATTGCTCTAAAATAAATGTACCTGTTTTATTTATTTGAGTTAAAGACTTATCTACCAATTTGAGTTAAGGACACACTTGGGAACAGACATCATTTGTTAACAAGCCAGGACTACCAGCACAGCAGAACGAGAGACTATTACTTAGCCATCAAGAGAAGTGAAGTACTGATCTAGGCGACAACATGGATGAATCTTGAAAACACTGTGCTGGGGACATAACTCACAGAAGGATAAGCATTATTCCATGTATATGGTGTCTCTGAAACAGGAGAGAGGGTAGACACCACAGTGACTTAGAGGTTACCAGGATGAGTGAGAAGGAGAGGAAAAGAGAACCCAAGGCTTAGGAGACAGAATTTCTACTAAGAGTGGTGGTATGACTTGGGAATGATGAATATAAATTAATGCCACTGAACTTTAAATGTGAAGAATGTTGAAATGGCAGCTGTTTTGTTATATGCATAATATTTCACTATTAAAAAAAGTTATCAATAAGCACTATCAAAAGCCTTGT